GGGGGGGGGGGGGGAGCTTTCGGGTGCGTCTGGAGCAGGAACTCCGCATTTGTCCCCAGGTCCCACAGAAAAACAAGCAGGAGCCCTGGGGGCCGCGTGCCGAGATGGTGTGTCTGAGCAGAGAGACCAGCTCTGGACGGTTGCTTACTTTGTTATAATCTATCCTGTTCATCCTCCTCTTCATTCGTATTTCTTTCTTTCTATTAAAAAAAATTGTAAATGTCTATTTATTTATTTTGAGAGAGAGAGAGAGAAAGCAAAGAGAAATTCGGAGAGAGAGAGAATCCCACGTAGGCTCCGTGCTGTCAGCGCAGAGCCTGATGTGGGGCTCGAACCTGTGAGATCCTGGTCAAGAGTTGGATGGTTAATGGACTCCACCACCCAGGTGCCCCACTATTTAGTTATTTCCGGCCCTGTTTGTTTGTTTGTTTGTTTGTTTCGTGCCTTTTATAAAAATTTTTTTTTCAACGTTTATTTATTTTTGGGACAGAGAGAGACAGAGCATGTGAGCGGGGAGGGGCAGAAGAAGAGGAAGACCTACAGAATCAGGAAGCAGGCTCTCCAGGCTCTGAGCCGCCAGCCCAGGCTGGCAGCGAGGAATTCCAGCGGACCGCCGGGTCGTGACCTGGCTGAAATTCAGGACCATTCATACCAAGGCCCTGTTTGAGTACTTTTAAAGTAAGTTGCAGACATCAATGCATTCCGCGCCCCCGCCCCCGGTGACTTCAGCACCCCTGTCGTAGAACACAGTTCTGAAATGCTCAAAGGCACCGACAATGTACTTGAAATACGTGTAGGAGTAACTCGCAGTTTATGCTCTAAAATGATCAGTGGGTTGTGTTTATCTGGGCATCCTTGGCTCCTAAATGCCTGGCCATTCCCAGCCTTGTCTCCAGTCTGGCCCTAGGTACCTGGCCTTTCCCCGTAAGAGTCAGGAATGCCTCCAATAGGCTTTTGTGAGCAGGGGGCCTCGGGGACTGCCCCTTGGGATGCCTTCTGTCCAGTCTTTGACACCTGCTGGGAGAAGCGCTCGCTTCTCCATTGACATCACAAGAAGGGACTAGATGCTCTTGAGGACCTGTCCGACGACGTAGGGCCCCACAACCCCCTTGTGAACAAGTGAGGAACGACGGAGTTCAGAGATACAATAACGGGAGTGAGAGAGTATGAAGTAGCTTGGGATGTGGAAATCTGCCCTTCCAGGCCTCAGGCTGGGCTAACAGACAGGTTTGCTGAAGCCAACTGCCTAATTAACAGGAAATACTGTTTCCTCCAAAGTCACGCTGCCCCAGCAAAGTCGCAAACAGCCCCCTCCTCTGGGCGCTTCCTGCTTTGTCACTGGGAAACTGTCTTTAACTTTCACATTCTACCAAAAGCTTTGATGTTGGAAATCCTACCGATAAGAATGAAATCTTCTGGAGGATCCCCACTAGTTTGACCCAGAGAAGCAGCTTGATTTCCGAACTAGATGCTAAACTTCAGGTAAGGGCCCCCAAAGGTGCATTTCTGCCCCCCAGATACTGGGTAACTAACATACCAGAGCCCCTGACTGTTGGTAAGGTCATGTGTGTGTTCTTGGCCCAGGCACGTTGATCATAATATGAATTTGCCAAATCTTTCTGATGTTTTTAGATTTTTTTTTTTTTTTTTTTAACTAAGCTCCATGCCCAACGTCGGGCTTGAACTCACAACCTTGAGATCAAGGGTCACATGCTCTGCCCACTGAGTCAGCCAGGAACCTCTGGGTTGGGGGCTATTTAAAGAGGGGTGTACCAAGCCGGGAAAGTGAGGAAACTTTTGGAAGTCCTACCTCCCTGAGGAACCGTTGCTATTTCTATGTATTCTAGAACACGGAAGGTATAATATATATATATATACCGCTTCGAGTATCGTTAGTCGCTGTAACAAATACATTCCAAAATATCAGGGGCTTAATTCAACGGTCATTAACGTCTTGCTCACATCCTTGTCAGCACGGTCGCCCCTGGTTGGCAGGTAGGTTTTGTTGTGTGACTCCTTTCATCTATGAGTCCCCATCCCTGACAGCAGAGTCCGTCACATGTGGCCGGAGAGAAGAAGAGAGAAAGTGGCTTTGGCCCAGAGGTAACACACCTCACCTCCACCCATGTTCCCTCGGTGAGAATCAGTCCGTGGACCCACCTAGAAGCAAGGGGTGCTAGGAAACGTATTCCCAGGCCAGATGGCCAATTACCAGCGACAACTCCATTCTGTGGGAGGAAAACCCATGAATTTTGATGGACAGGTTTCTCAGCTTCCGTGGGGAAAGCTGTTATTCAGCGCACGCCTAAAACAACAAGCCCCACTGTCCAATGATCTGCTGTGGCGAGAGCAAAGAAATCTTGCAGACTGTCTCTTCTGCTTCTATTTTTGTTTGTTTATTTGGGGGGCTATTGTTAACCCAAAGAGGGGTGCTCTCCAGAAATGTTGGTCTCAGCCCCAAGGATGGTAATTTCTAGCTGGCAGAGTCAGAACACTTGAAAAGGCTCATGGGAGGTGGGGGCGCCTGGGTGGCTCAGTCGGTTAAGCATCTGACTTCTGCTCAGGTCATGATCTTAGGTCATGATCTAACGGCCAGTGGGTTCTGGCCCCGAGTCCGGCTCTGTGCTGACAGCTCAGAGCCTGGAGCCTACTTGGGATTCTGTGTCTCCCTCTCTCTCTGCCCCTCCCCCGCTCACACTCTGTATCTCTCTCTCTCTTAAAAATAAACATTAAAAAAGTTAAAAAAAAAAAAAAGAGAGAGAGAAAAGAAAAGGCTCATCGATTCATTGAATGGAGCACATACCTTGAGACCCTATTTCTGTTTTAAAAATAGACTGTCCCCGAGGCCAATTTGTGGAATTTGAGAAGTTTGACTTCAGGATATCCAGTCTCCTCTTGGTACTCAGTTTCAGATGCCCAGGGCCTGCTGACTTTTTAACCCTATCCCTTATCAGACAGACTTCTGTGAGGCAAAGTCTCTTGTATTTCACATTTGCATACTTGAGGGAAAATGGAGTCAGTGCCTGAAAGACAGGGTTTGTGCCCAAACCGACGGTTGAATAAAAACAGAGATGAGAGAGAGAGAGAGAGAGAGAGAGAGAGAGAGAGGATCATTATCTACCTTAAAAACTCATCTGCTCTCTTATATCGCATTTGAAATTTCTTTTACATTGCACTTGCAAT